AGCCAAACACGGTGAAAAGCCAACCTTCACCTAAATTACCTAAAGAAGCAACTATTCACCTCCTGGCTGAAGATCAAACAAGAACCACGAGAAGATCCGAAAGGTCGGTTCTCAGGCGAGGCCCTCAAACCCTCGGAAAACTATACGTTCCTACTAACGCGGAAAATGGAAGAGATTACACATTGCAGTTTAGAAAAAGAGTAAAGGGACTAGAGGCAATATGCCTAACCAATCAAACTAAGATGACCAGGGAGGCAGCAAGGAGGGGCTGGGACTCAGGAAAAATCGAGGATTAAAACCCGAGACGTGAGGTTGAACACTAAAGTAAACTGAGAACAGGAGGACGCTGAAACGCGAGGGAAGGGAGATCGAGAGTGGGCAGAGCCTGTGGCGCGACACGGCCCTGGGCAGGGCTGGGTCCAGGAAGAGTTAGACTTCGCCAGCCTAGCGAGCTTCCCATTTCGGGCTAAAGCCGAAGAAAACAGCCCTGGGGAGCAGACAATGAGCCACCGCCCCAAGAGCCGCGGCTCCAGGCACGCAGGTAGCGGCTGCCCCGGCGCTGGCCCCGGCAGGTAGCTGCCGCGGGCCGCTCGCGCCGGCAAGGCCGCGCAGAGGGAAGGAGGAAGAGCGCGACGGCCCGCGTCCCGGCCTGTCTGCACACTTACCCCAGGCGAGGCAAGGTCCCCGCCCCAGCGAGGCGCCTCGGTCCGAGCTCCCGGCGGGCTGTGGAGCCGCCCCGGGCAAGCGCGCGGCGCGGGGCAGGCGGGGACGGAAGGGGAAGCGGGGCGGGAAGACGTGCCGCGCTAGAGCGCAGCCGCTGCTACCGCTAGGCCGAGCGGCAGCCGAGCCCCGCGGGCGCCGGGAGGGGAGGGCAGGGAGCCTTCGGCAATGGCGACGGCCCGGGCCGGAGGGGAAGCGGAACAACCGCCGCCGCTGCGCGTGGCCACAACCCTGGGGGAGGGCGGCGGCGGGGAGTGGGCAGGGGCGGGGCCAGAACACCGCCCCTCGCCGGCCCAAGCCCCGAGCTCCACGGGGCGGAGACCCGCACCACCTCCCGAAGGGCGGGCTCGCGCTGGGGCTGCTGGGAGTCGTAGTTTGAACACGTGCACCCCGCTCTTCTCGCTTTCTCTCTCGCTCTTTTTTTCCTTCTTGGCGGTGGGAGGGGCGGGAAGAGTGTTCTTTAAATTGAGAAAGAGAGCCAGTCCCTCATTTAATTTAGTATTGTCTCCATTCAGGTCTGTGCCGATCAAAGATGCTGACCAACATTGCTGTTATATAAATCCGCTTCAGTACATTTGTTTCTGGGAATTCATCCATTATCCATTTTGCATTTTACTTACAAACTCTATGTTTTGCTGCTAAAGTAAATCCCACCTCCTTGAAATTAAGGTCTTCATGTTTTATCCAGGGTGGAGTTCATCAATGTATTCACTGATTCTACAAATATTTGAGCCTCTAAAATGTATCGCTTAGGCATCAGACATACAGGATGGATATGAATCACTTTGCCTTTGTGGAGCATTCAAATATGCAAACACAGTAATTAAACTAGTGATATCTGGTATGAGAAGAAAACTGGGAAGATTATTTTGGATGGGGTGGCCAGAGAAAGCATCTTTAGGGAGACAACATTTAAGCTGAGAACAGAAGAGAGACGTAAGAAGCTCCTAGAAGAAAGCATTACAGGCAAAGGGAGGAAGAAAAGGGCTTGCTATGATCAGTTAAGAAGACCTGTGTAGCTTGAGCTTACTGCAAGAGTAGTGTACTGTGAAAAAACATTAGGGTAGACAAGATTCAGGTCAAGAAGGATCTTGAATGCCATGCTAAGAAGTCTGGATTTGCTCCAAGAAGCTATTAAAGAGTATCAAGCAGGGAAATGATCTGGCTTATACTTTAAGATCACTAGATTGCTATGTGGAATATGTAGTATACAGATGCAAGAATAGAAGGGAAATGAACTAGAAAGGCAGTAATCATGACAGACACTAATGAGATAGTGGAAATGGAGAAGGCAGCTAGATTGTGCTTATGTATAGATGCAGAATAAAAACCCAATTGATGTAGAGAGAAAGGAATCAAAGATCAATATGGCACACTATTATTAGATAACCCGAAAAACAGTCCCATTATGAAACACATTGAAATGCTGGATAAAACAGAACATCCCTTCAAAGGCATAACTAAGCTTTCAAGAAAGAAAGAGGAATACCTCTGACAGTTTTCCGAACTCCACACAACCCAAAGAGGGAGCAAGAAACCTGAGTGGCAAGCAGAATAGTGAAACTATGGTTGTATTGAGGGTTATGTACCGATCTCAGAAATCTCTGTGGTTTTACTGGCTGCACAGAAGACCAAAGACAAGGCCCTGGGCCTTTACAAGGAGTTGGGACAGTGACGCTGCATAAGGCTGGAAAACCCATAGGGCTATGTGCTCCAAGAATAGCTGGGGATTAAAAAAAATCCCCTGTACCAGCCCAGCGAGACAAGCAGACATCAGTATGTTTTAGTCTGGACTTGGCATGAAGGGGGAAACAATCTCCCTTTTAGAATTCATAACCACAAGCTTTCCCTCACATGGGTTTGAGAGTTCAAGTTTATAGTACCTAGACTGTCCAGGAAACCTCAAGTCAAGAAAGTGGTCCCAGGCTGGTAGTGTTTGGAGGCCTGGAAGAAACAAATACAAATCCTCACTGCACAGGTTCACTCTTAACCCAGGACTGAAAGGATTTCCAAGGATAAACAGGATTTCAAAAGCTAAATATGAGCACCCAAAATATAATTTTAATATACCTGAGGAAATAAGCCACCATGAATGAATCCACAGAAACCACAAACAAAATAATGAAGCTTGTGAACTTTAGATAGTGGAACTATTGGTTACAGAATGTAAAATAAGTTTATTAAAATGATTAAACAAAATAATATATGAGTAAGAAACAAGATACTGCTTTTTAAAAAGTGACCACGAAGCTTTGAGAAGTAACCAAGTAGAACTTCTACAAATAAAGAATTTAATAATTGCAACCAAAGCCAATGTTTGGGTTAAATAGCAGATTACACACTGAAGAGAGAATTAGTAAACTGGATGACAGATCTAAAGAAATTACTGAGAGCAGCCCAGAGACAAAGGAAGTATGAAAGAAAGATCAAGAGACATGGGGATAGATTGTGAAGATCTACCATATACTTAGCAAGAACTCTGAGAGAAGAGAGAAAACAAAAGGGATAGTAGATGAGATAATGCCTAAGAATTTTCAGAACTGAATAAAGACAAGAACCTTCAGATTCAAGAAGCAAAGTGAAGCCCAACCAGGATAAGCAAAAGAAATCTTTTCAAACACATCAACATGAAACTGCAGAATACCATAGGTAAAGCAACCAGAAAGGAAAGACACACCCTACAAAGAAACAACTATTAAATTTCTGAAGATTTATCAACTGCAACAATGGGTGCAAGTGGACAGTGGAAAAATATTTTCAAAGTACCAAGATAAAATAACCAAATTTACAAGTGTAGACCGAGCTAAATTATCAGTCATATGAAGGTGAAATAAAGATATCAGACAAAAGCAGAGACCGTTCGTTGCTGGTACTGTAACAGTGTTGTAGCTACACTTGTGGTGCTTGGGGCGCCTGGGTGGCTCAGTTGGTGGTTAAGCGGCTGCCTTCAGCTCAGGTCATGATCCCGGAGTCCTGGGATGGAGCCTGCTTCTTCCTCTCCCTCTGTCCCTCCCCCCACTTCTCATGCTCTCTCTCACTCTCAGATAAACAAAATCTTTAAAAAATAAAAATTTAGGGGCACCTGGGTGGCTCAGTCGTTAAGCGTCTGCCTTTGGCTCAGGTCACGATCCCAGGGTCCTGGGATCGAGCCCCACATTGGGCTCCCTGCTCTGTGGGAAGCCTGCTTCTCCCTCTCCCACTCCCCCTGCTTGTGTTCCCTCTCTCACTGTGTCTCTCACTGTCAAATAAATAAAATCTTTAAAAATATATATAAATAGGGCGCCTGGGTGGCTCAGATGGTTAAGCGTCTGCCTTCGGCTCAGGTCATGATTCCAGGGTCCTGGGATCGAGTCCCGCATCAGGCTCCCTGCTCCGTGGGAAGCCTGCTTCTCCCTCTGCCTCTCTCTCTCTCTCTCTCTCTATCTCTCATGAATAAATAATTAAAATCTTAAAAAAAAATTTAAAAATTTAAAAAAATAAAAAATATATAAATAAATAAATAAAAATTAAAAAATAAAAAATACAGCATTTAGGGGTGGCTGGCTGGCTCAGTTGGTAGAGCATGCGACTCTTGATCTCAGGGTCATGAGTTCAAGCCCCACGTTGGGCATAGAACTTACTTAAAAAATAATTTTTTTTAAGTTAAAAAATAAAGTGCTTATTCATTTTTCAAGTATCCAAAGATAATAAAGAGTTCAAAACCAGAAATGTTCTGTTATATCAAAAGTGATATCAAAAAAAAGTGATGTCATCTGCAACCATTTATTAGGCAAGAAGAGTCATATCAAAGTACTCTTCATTCACTTTCACATTTTTATTACACCTCTGAATACCTGTATAAATGAATAAATGGCTGAATCATGTCCCAGGCCACCATCTCAAATATTAACTTGAAAACTTATTTAAATACTGATGACACTTGGTTCTGATATGCAAAAGAAAAAAATATATATATGCACTCTGCCCTCCCCGCCACATATACTCTTAAGAGGTACCATGTTCCCCTGTCTATTCATACTTCAGTATGCTGTCTGTTGATGTTAACTGAATTTTAACTGACATAATTTCATTTCAGTGCCGCTATATTAATCCCACTGTGAAAGAAATGCTTGTAAAAAACACGGAATTCTTTCTTGTAAGAAAACGCTAAATAAGTAAAAAATTAGACTGGATTTGAAATTTTAGTGGTCTCTAATTATTTCTTTTTTTATGGCATTTGGTTGCCTTTTTCAAGTTCTTAAACATACCTTCAAAAAGAACTATTATGACTAGTCAAGTCATACATGTCAAATTCTAAAGGTTTATTCCCATAAAAACAACAGAATGTTTTAGGAAATTAAGCAGTGCTAGCATATATAAATGTATATCATTCCATTACTCTATGAAACACTGTCAACCAAACCCTGGTTTATTGGCTTCTGTTCTGAAACATGCCTGTCCTCAACGCATTGCCCTAAACAAACAGAAGGACATGCTTGCCTTTTTATTTTTATTTTTTTTCAAAGATCTTATTTTTAAGTAATCTCTACACCCAATATGGGGCTCAACCTCAAAACCCCAAGATCAAGAATTATATGCTCCACTGACTGAGCCAGCCAGGTGCCCCATACCTTTATGGCACTTACTTTATTTTCTAATTTTTTCCCAAGAAAAATAGTGGAATAAGAGCTTTTTAAAAAAAAAAAAAAAAAAGTCACTGAAGATACAAAAAAGAGGGGTATCTGGGTGGCTCAGTCGGTAGAGCATGTGACTCTTGATCTCAGGGTCATGAGTTCAAGCCCCAAGTTTGGCATGGAGCAAAAGATACAAAAAAGATTTTTTTTGTAAATGTACAACTTAATAAAAAATACTCTAAAAATGACAATCCGAATTGTCTTCCTGACAAATTCAGTACTAAGTATTAGTACTTAGTACTTAGTTTCATCTAGCCAATTCATATATTCAAAACAGTATAATAAAATACAAAAGGAGAATGGAAATGCTTTAAGGAATAATCAATCTTGATATTAATAATTTCTTAGCTGTCCTACTTTATTTTCTTTAAACTCTCGATGAGTAACTTTAATATTCAAAATTCATGTTTAAATAAACTGAGTCATCCAAAATATTTTATTCTTATTTATAATGATTTTCTCAATTTTTAGCTGAAATTAAAATGTTTCTAGTCATAAAATGAGAATAATTTGTCTCTAACATATAAAGTACTCATTTTCGTAACCGAAATGAGGATAAAATCACTTCTCACAAGATAAATATTTAACAAAATTAAGTTTCCTCTTCTGTTGGCACTTGCTTGAAGATTATCAAAGGTCTATACAACAGAGCACTAAATTCTGGAATTGGTTGAAAATGATCCAAAATTTCCTCTAGTACACATAATTTTAGACATAAATGAAGACAAAAGCAATGACAATTCTAGAAGAGCACTTCTAATTGCAAGTAAATAGGTCTTATTTAGGTTTATGGGAAGCATTAAACTCCATAAAACTTATAGGGAAAAATGGCCGTATTTGAAAACAGCCACAAGGATTAGAGTGGAACACAGGATGGTAATGAGCAGAGTCACAGAACATACTAAAGAGGTATGTATAGTCAGTCCCACTGGAACCTGTAGAGTCACGTTTTTATATACCTAGAGAGAGAGAGAGAGGTTAGAGACATTTAAAATGCATGTCCTAAGGTAAGACCAGTACTTGACTTTTAATGTAATTTTTTTCTTTTAGTATCTTTCAGCCAATGCTACACTACAGGGAACATTACTATTTGAGTGATTCTTTTGGATTCAACATTTCATTTAATATAATAGAATCAGACTCAATCACAATAATCCTTAAATTCTCATTAGTTTTGACTACTACTTTCTACCGATGCTAGCTATCTCCCATTGTCACCTCTGTAATCAATATAAGCATTTACCTCCTTTTGCTACGTTTCATATTAGAATACAGAATTCTCTCTCAAAGCCCCAAAGGAAAAACGTTAGAACAACAATAAAGCTAAAGTATCCAATCACTCCTGTTTTGCTGTTTCTCTCTCCAAAATACCTTTAAAAAGTCTGTTATTCACAAATCACACAATTGAATGTCTTTTACTGTTAAAACATCAAAGTCATTGTCATCCTGACCAGCAAAACAAGTTCTCCTACAGTTCAACTTGGTTTTTATTTTCTATTTGGTTTTGAAGATCAAGGGGGTCAGTTAGAAACTCTAGGAAATTTTATGGTTTAAAATAGGTTTTTAAAAACATGAAAATTTAGGTAACTTGGGAATGCTCTTATTTTTGGTTCCTTTTTATAAATATCTGGAGTATAATTTCACACCCCAAACAAATGTTACCAACATAATCTGTAACAAAGCCACCTGAAATTTAGCTTTCAAAAAAATGGTGTCTTAAATCAACAAGCCTTAGTGTAGATCACCCCCTTAGTAATGGTCACCTATTTCTCTGGTATACATAAACAAGAAATGTTAATACACGCACATACAATTCAAAGGGATTAATTATGACCTCTTATTTCAAGTTACATGGTCTAAAGGAGAACTGGATTCAGAATGTTTTAATAAGGTAATTACTTACTTTGTAGCAATGCATACAACCAATATTTTAAATTAATAAATTATAAACACTAATTATACTCTTCATTCACGTAAGAAAATCAAATGTAATTCTCCAGATGTATTTTAGAGTGTGAAAAAAGATTCGGGTTCCATATGGTAATGGAAATCTACTCAAAAGCAACTCTACATTGCAAAAGATATCAGCACAGTCATACATCTTACCAATTGTCAGTTCTAAGAGAATTCCCCACTACAAAATAGCAGTGCTTTGTAGTAAGCCTTCACCATAAGTAGTTGTTTTCTAGGCTAGCTGGTAGACAGGCTTCAAAGCAACTCCAAGGAAAATACTTCAAATCTAAATATCTACAATAGCCACATGAACAAATCTGCTTTATGTTTATCTGACTGACAGTCTGTCTGTTGGTTTAACATTTTAAATTTATTTTCCTTTTATTGCAGACTCATTTGACTCCTTATAAAAGTAAACTGTAAAAATGATGACACAGATTGTGCTATTCCACCAAAGGAAGCAGGCATTAAAGAGAATTAGGGTCAAAGAGAAACACAAACAGATATTACAACCATCAGTTAAAATGCAGCTCATAAAAGAGGAAGGAAAGGACAGAAAAAGAGGGAAAGAAAAGAAATGGTTGTATAAGATCACCACTCTGAAGAGAGAGAAGTAGACCATGTTAACTAAAGAAGGTAAACAGAAAACTACACTCCTTAGACAAAGCCAATGTTAATGAAGTAAGAATACTTACCTAATTTAGTAACTGAAAACAAGGTCAGAGGTCAAAACTATAAACATGGCTGGCCACAACCTGGATTTAGATATATAAATAGCAATACAACTGTCTAGAAACTTTATCACCGTTGAAATACTACTACTTGGAGCCTTTATTACCCTTTTCTCACTTGTTTTGTGCCATATAATGAAGTTAACTAATGGATTTTTGTTGTTCAAAAATTAATAAAAAGTTCTAAATAAAATAAAGTTGTACTGATAAAGTAAAACTCTTGGGTTTTACTGAAACCAGGCCACTTTCTTACACCATACACAAAAATAAACTCAAAATGGATTAAAGACCTAAATGTGAGACAGGAAACCATCAAACCCCTGGAAGAAAACATAGGCAGTAATTTCTTGGACATCAGCTGTCGAAACATTTTTCTAGATAAAGTAAAACCAGATGGACATAGCACTGTTCTTCATTGCTACTCCACATCTTTAAAAAGCATATTAGCTATACTTAGGCTCTGAACCAATGAGGCATGGAACTAACCCTAAATCTCCAGTCCCCAAATTAAATGATTCTGTAACTATAGAAATGAGGAACCACTGCTGCCATTAGTAGCAAGGAAACAACATTAAAAACAAACAAAAACAGCTTTCAATGGTAGAAGAGAAAATTGGCAGAAACATTATGAGTTTTAAATAATGTAGCATGATCGAAAAACAACATAAAATATTAACTTACTGATTTATATTTCATATTGTTCCACTGGCAGATATCCTTATTCTTCAAAGCACAAGGAGCTGCCACTTGTGACTGAGCCCAGCATTTCAAAATTGGAAACTCTGAGAAAAAGTGGTAGAACATCATATCAGAAAACCTGCATCTGGACTAGACCCTAGGCCAGTCTTTCATGTTGAGATATGAGTACTCAAACACTTTTCTACACAATGTACATGACCTGAATCCATCTTCACATGCTATTTTATTTAGCAGCCTATCCTAAGAGGATGCCTAAGAAATTACAAAATTACCAAGACTGTGCAGAAGTTAAGCATGAGTTCTTAACAAATCTCATTACAGTAGGTGCCACTTTTTAAAAAAGATGTTATTTATTTATTTATTTGAGAGAGAGAGAATGAGCAGAGGGAGAGAGGGAGAAGCAGACTCCCTGCTGAGCAGGAAGCCGGATGCATGCGGGGCTCAATCCCAGGACGCAGGGATCATGACCTGAGCCAAAGGCAAACTCTCAAGCAACTGAGCCACCCAGGCATCCCCAGTAGGTACCATTTTTAAAAAAATTTAACTTAAACTTTTTTTGAAATATAACATATATTCAGAAAAATGAACAGATCCTAAGCATACAACTAAAAAAATTTCCATAGACTAAACTAACCCATATAAAGAGCATTGAGGCTAAAAAAAACAAAAACAAAAACTAGAACCCCAGGGGCTCTCTCAAGAGAGAGAGCTTTTTCAAACTTTTTTCAGACAATTAAAAGAAAACTAGGTTGGATGAACAAACCTAACAAAGTTGAACAGTTTATTATTTTCTCATCATGAAATATATGATGGCTGCAAAGTATGATTAAAAACTTCCTATCCTCCAATCTTTAGTGCTACTGGTTTGTGAATATTCTAATCAACCCAAATTTGAAGACCCAAAGAACCAAAATCGGAAAGGGGTTTCTTAAAGTCTTGATTCTAGGAAGACTGAAAATGGGGAAGGATCATTTTTTTATTTTTTTTTAATATTTTATTTATTTATTTGACAGAGAGAGAGACAGCGAGAGGGAACAAAAGCAGGGGGAGTGGGAGAGGGAGAAGCAGGCTTCCCGCTGAGCAGGGAGCCCGATGCGGGGCTCGATCCCAGGACCCTGAGATCACGACCTGAGCCAAAGGCAGACGCTTAACGACTGAGCCACCCAGGCGCCCCACATCGTTTTTTTAATTTACTCAAACGCACACATAAAAACAGAAAGAACAATTACACCCGAAACCAAAAACTAATGGCCAATATTTACAACAAAACTAGGTGGTAAAGTATCCCCTCAAACACGAAAACCTATGCAGGTGGAGACAAACACCAACAGCTGCAAGTCCAGCAAATCAGCATGAAGAAACAGAAAGTAACACAGGGGCAAAAAGAAACACACCAGACATTATATGCGTAGTCCTACAAGAACTCAGCACCACCTATAGTCTTGTCAAAAGAATCAAAGCTAAATCTGATCACACCTCTGGAGCCAGCAGCCAATTTCCAGGAAATAAAGAGGCTAGATGAACAGCATGAGTACAATCACCAAAACCCCAGCCATGAGAAACTAGACAGGTCAAATGGCCCAGGTTTCTCCACAGGTAAATTAAAAAAAAAAAAAAAAGCAAGGGGAAGAGGAGAAACCTGTAAAGTAAGAGACTTAATGGAAATACATTTCTTTAAATGGGGAAGATGAGGCTTTACCATCTAAGAATGCCCACTTGGGCAGAAAAAGTATAAAGAAACATAAGCAAGTGATTAAGTCAGGATATGGGTTAGTCTTAGAGGAAAGGAGGAGGCTATGATTGAGACAAGACACAGAGAGCTGCTGCTAGGGTGACTGGCAAAGCTCTATTTCTCTACCTGGGTGGTAGTTACAAGGGTATTTGCCTTATAATAATTTACTAAAATATTTGCTTGTGAGGTTTTCTTGTATCTATGGTGTATTTTACAATCAAAAAGTTAAAAAAAGAGGGATGCCTGGGTGGCTCAGTCAGTTAAGCGTCTGCCTTTGGCTCGGGTCATGATCCCAGGGTCCTGGGACTGAGTCCCACATCAGGCTCCTTGGTTGGCACGGAGCCTTCTTCCCTCTGCCTGCCCCTCCCCCTGCTTGTGCACACGCACACGCTCTCTCTCTGACAAATAAATGAAACCTTAAAAAGAAAAGTTAAAAAAGAAAAAAGAAACCTGCTTTTGTCATCCCTGTCCTTGACTTCAGACTTGCCACCATACCTTTATTTTTATTTTCAACCCTCAGAAAAGACTTGCAACCCTCACCTTGGTCACAATACATCAATAAATCAGGGTTATTGACCACAATAAAGGTTTCCCCATCTTTACTATGTGGCCGATGATAGCGGTAGTGCACAGGCAAAAAAGCTTGGAAACAGTCAATGCACTGTGAATCTTGTCTGGCATAAATTAGAACTTCAGATTCCTTGGACAAATAACTGGGAGCTTCTATATTAAAGTCTTCTGAAACCATCACTGCCTGTCAAAAAGAAAACAAATATTAATCCAGAAGAAGAAATGAATGGGGAGGATTAATAAATAAAGCCACAAGATTGCTATGCAGATGAACAGAAATGTCAAATTTGAGTCAAACTCACTCCCCTTATAGATAATTTCCATTTCATTCCATCCTCAATTTTAAATAGAAAATACAGATGTGATCTATGTTTAATAAAAGTTTGTTTACTAAAAGTAAACTGAGGAAATTTTACTAATAAAAATTATGTATTTGTAATATCCTTATCAACCTTTGTTTAGGTGACAAAAGAGGTACTAAGAAAAGAGAAATTTTGTGAATACAGCATTATTTAATAAATATGAAAACTATGACAAAAACAGTTAACCCAGTATTGGATTGAAATGATTGGTATCATTCTGGTAATTTCCTGTTCTTGAGAGAAGCAAGTAAGATGGCAGTGAGTAAGATAGAGCACTGTGGTCAGGAAGTCAAAGCAAAGGTCAGCACTCTTCCCATATTAGGTATAAAAAGTTAAAAGAAAAATAGTAAATGATTCTTTAAAAAAATAATACAGTAAAAACCATTTTAAAACAGGTATTCTAGGGGCGCCTGGGTGGCTCAGTCAGTTAAGTGTCTGCCTTCGGCTCAGGTCATGATCTCAGGGTCCTAGGATCGAGCCGGTGACAGGTTCCCTGCTCAGCGGGGAGTCTGCTTATCCCTCTCCCTCTGCCCCTCCCCCCACGCTTGTGCTTTTGCTCACTCTCTCTCAAATGAAGAAATAAAAAATCTTAAAAAAAAAAAAAGATATTCTACTCCAAAAGTAAAAATGCATATGTGGCAGAAAATAGTCCTAAATTATAAATGTGTATATTATATATATATATACACAATATACACACACACATATATATATAATCCATGTACACGTATTTATGTTTGAGGCTCCATATATATATATATATATCCATCCACACATATTTATGTATAAACATACATATGCACATTCACACTCACATATACTTATACATACGTATATAGGCACTATATAACCTATGAGTCTGTATGTGAGTATGTATACACACACAACTTGTCTCTAGATTCTCTATGTGAAGTCCTGACATAGCTCCAAGAAAAAAAAAAGAATTAACATCTTCCTGTCATGGCAAGCAAACATCCTAATTCTCTTGTTTGACAGTGACACCAAGTGCTGTATTTTTTTCATATTTTTCCTTCTCTGTTAATCACAGGAATAAAAAGAATTCATTGGCAAAGGCCAAGTAGTTATATAATCTTATGAGTCATAATGAACTTTAAAGGTGATCAAATTAAACCACTGTCCCAATGAGGGCATTCATTGTTCAGGATCCAGCCACTGCTTGAATACACTCAAGGACTAAAAGGGAGGTTATTACATTGAGTCATATCATTTTATCTTCTGTTAAAAGGTTATTCCTTTTTTTTTTTTAGATTTATTTATTTGACAGAGAGAGAGCAAGAGCGTGGGGAGGAGGGGCAGAGGGAGAGGGAGAGAGTCTTAAGCAGGCTCGGTGCTGAGTGCAGAGCCCAACACAGGGCTTGATCCCACAACACGGAGATCACGACCTGAGCCGACACCCAAGAGTCAGATGCTCAACCTACTGTGTGACCCAGGGACCCCTATTCCTTTTTTATAAGTAGAAATCTAATGCTCTGGCCTTTAACATTCACAACTGTCCTTGCTTACAGTATCTACAATAAATTTGTTCCTTATTTCACTAAGGGTCACTCAAACATCGCCACTAAGTTTGCTCCTCCTCAGAGAAACAGTCATAGTTCTTGTAGGGGCACCTGGGTAAACAGCAATAATGTATTATCAAAAAAATGAAATGATGCATAAAAAATTCATCCAAAAAGAGCATATACTTGTTAAAAGACATGGATCTATACCTTTTCACAACAACACTCAACTACACGTCACAAACCACCACAGCTAAGTTAAATGAATTAAGCTATGAAATTGTGCCATACCTGTAACATTTGCCAGATCTTTCTCTGATAAACTATAGCTCTTTCAAAAACAGAAATAAATTCTCCCAATTAAGATACAGTAATTGGTGCCTTTGAACAACTTATACAATCTAAAAATATAAAACCTTTTTCTTTTTTAAAGATTTTATTTATTTACTTGACAGAGAGACACAGCGAGAGAGGGAACACAAGCAGGGGGAGTGGGAGAGGGAGAGGGAGAAGCAGGCTTCCCTGCCGAGTAGGGAGCCCAATGCGGGCCTCGATCCCGGGACCCTGGGATCATGACCTGAGCCAAAGGCAGATGCTTAATGACTGAGCTACCCAGGCGCCCCTAAAAATATAAAACTTTATAAAAATGAAATGTAGAATACTTTTCTGACACTGGGATGTTAATTCTAACAGTACATTTTTAAAAATGTTCTATCTGGCTAAAGGTTCACCAATTTTATCCATCTCAAAGAACCAGCTTTCAGTTTCACTGGTTTTCCCTGTTGTGTTTCTATTTTCTAATTCACTGATTTCTGTTTTTACTATTTCCATTCTCCTACTTACTTTGGTTTCATGTGCTCTTCTTTTTGTAATTTAGGGAGGCTTGGCTATCACTAATCTGAGACCTTTCTTCTTTCTAAAATAGGCATTTTAGGACTATAAATTTCCCCCTAAATGCAGCTCTAGCAGCACCCTACTAATTCTAATATATTGTTTTCACTTTTATTCAGCTCAAAATACTTTCTCTTTTGATTTCTTCTTTGACCTATGGACTACTTAGAAGTATGTTAATTGGCTCCCAAATGTTTGAGGCTTTTCCAGAAATCCTTCCATTCTTGATATCTACTTTAATTCCTCTGTAGTCAAAGAACACACTTTGTAAAACTTGAATTTGTCTAAGTATATTGAGACTTGTTTTATGACCTAGAATATGCTCTATCTTGATAAATGTTCCATGTACACCTAAAAAGAATGTATATTCCACTATTGTTGGGTGGAGTGTTCTATAAATGCCAGATTAGGTCAAGTTGACAGTTTTATTCAAATCTTATATATTCTTACTAATTTTCTGTCTAGTATATCAATTAATGAGAAAAGGGTACCGAAATCTTCAACTCTAACTGTAGATTTGTCTATTATACCTTACAGTTCTACCAGTTTTTCTTCATGCATTTTGAATCTGTGTTATTAGGTACATAAATGTTTATGGTTATTATTTCCTTCTGATGAGTTTATCCCATTATCAAAATGACTTTCTTTAGCTCTGGTGATAGTCTTTGCTCTGAAATCCACTTCACCTAAAATTAATATAGCCACTTCAGCTTCCTTTTGACCAGTGTGACCATTATATCTTTTCTTTTAAAATTTACTGTTCATTTCTTGTAAGCAACATACAGTTGGTTCTTGCTTTCTTATCCAATCTGATGATCTCTGCCTTTTAATGGGGATATTTAGACATTTACATTTAATGTGACTATTGATATGGTTGACATTTATCATCTTATTTTCTATATTTAACATCCAATTTTTGTTCCTTTTATGTTCTTTCTCTGCTTTTTGGATTAAATGAATACTTTTATAATTTCATTATAACTGCTTTGCTGGCATATTAGCTAAAACTCCTTGTGCTTTTTTTAACATTTAATTATTTATTTTTAAGTAGGCTCTAGGCCCAATGTGGGGCTTGAACTCATGACCCTCAGATCAAAAGTCATTTGCCCCATCGCCTGAGCCAGCCAGGCACCCCAAAACTCTTTGTTATTTTTATGGTTACTTTAGGGTTTACAGTAAATATCTTTAATGTAGCAGTCTACCCTTAAGTGATATTTTTTTATTTTTATTTTTTTAAAGATTTTATTTATTTGACACAGAGCGAGAGAGAGAGAGAGAGCACAAGCAGGGGGAGCAGCAGAGGGAGAGGAAGAAGCTGACTCCCTGCTGAGCAAGGAGCCCAATGTAGGGCTCAATCCCAGGACCCTGGGACCATGACCTGAGCCGAAGGCAGATGCTTAACCGACTGAGCCACCCAGGCGCCCCTACCCTTAAGTGATATTAAACTACTTCACATTTAGTGTAACAACCTTACAAAAGTATACTTCCATTTTCTCTTTCCCAACTTTGTGATATTAGTTGTCACGTATTTTATTTTTACATATGGTATAAATGCTATATTATTTTTGTCAATTATCTTGTAAATAAAAAATTTAAATAATAAGAGGGAAAAAAGTCTTATATTTACCCATGTAGTTATCATTTCAAGTGCTCTTCTCTCCTTAGTGTAGATATAGATTTTATCTGGTATCATTTTCCTTCCACCTGAAAGACCTCCTATAACATTTTTTATAGTGGAGGTCTATTGGTGATTAATTCTTTCAGATGTCTGAAAAGTCTTTATTTCATTTTCACTTTGAAAGATATTATCACTGCATACAGAATTCAAAATTCACATATTTTTTTCTTTCAATACTTTAAGGATGGTGTTGTACTGTTTTCTTGTTTGCATTATTTTTGACAAGAAACCTGTTATCTTTTATCTTTGTTCCTTTATATTTTACATGTTTTCCTTTCCCTCTTGACACTTTTAAAATTTTCTCATTCTCTGGCTTAAATCAACAACACAAGAAACAACAGGTGTTGGCAAGGATGTAGAGAAAGGGGAACCCTGTTGCACTGTTGGTGGGAATGCAAACTGGTGTAGACACTCTAGAAAACAGTATGAAGGTTCCTCAAAAAGTTAATGATCCAGCAATAGCACTACTAGGTATTTACCCAAAGAATACAAAAATACTAATTCAAAGGGATACATGCACCCTGATGTTTTCAGCAGCATTATCGACAATAGCTAAATTATAGAAACACTGTTAAGTATCCATCAACTGATGAATGGATAAGGAAGATGCAGAGGTGCCTGGCTGGCTCAGTCAGTAGTACAGCATGTGACTCTTGATCTCAGGGTTGTGAGGTTAAGCCCCACATTGGGCAGGGAGCCTACTTAAAAAAAAAAAAAAATTTAGTATATAAATACA